GCCATACAGCTTCAAAATGAAAGTGAAGCAAAAGTTACAGAGGTGGTGTTTTGGAAAATTACAAGACTTGGAAAAACCCCACTACAGCACATGACCCTGACATGTACAATTGCTGTAGCATTTATAGTTATTACATAATGTAGGTGCTTCACAGTGCATGGTGCACCTGTGGCACAATTTATTCCATATGCTGCACTGATTACCTCAAAAACCGGTGGCCATAATTTCAAAATTATACCTTCAACTCAAGAAATGTTGTTCTTGACAAGTGCGGCATCTCTCTAACTCTAATTCAGTATGAAGACGTTCATCATGAGCTCAGTGAAAGCTGCTGTCTTTAGCTCGGATCTCTAAACTCACTACTGGAAGATCTTTTGTCTTTTTAATGTTAATCATATTTGTCATACATAGTCTTTGCTAATCAAAATGAGCCTGCTTGCCAAAGTCAGTGGATGGTTCACTGATCAGGGGAGTTTCTTTCATCTTCTTGTCAATGACTTTATAAGTGCTTTTCCAGCAATCATCTCTAATGCACACATCATCACCAGTATTGGCCACCCAGGTTTCACTTTCTTTTCATCTCTCCCTCTCCTTCTTTCTTTCTCTAGGTTGCCCTCTTTCCTATAGGGATACCTTCAGCCCTGTGCTGCAGTTTGACAAGGTTGTCATAAAATTATAATAATAAAATATTTAGTTGTGTCCTGGGTATTGTCCTGTAAAGCTACATGACTAAACATGAGATCATTTTTTCCAGACCCAGAAGGTTTTTTTTCCCTCTTGGCTTATTTATTTTTCTGTGGTTTGGGAGGTTGTGGCTGAAAGCCTGATGATATGCTGTGTGTGTTCCTCTCCTTACCCCACCCCTCAACACTCCTCTCCACATTTCTACTTTCCTCTCAATTTATACGCAGAAGGTAAAGGGAGTGATAAAAATACATTTTTTACATTCGCTTGTTGTTCCACAGTAAATCACTGTGCTCACTTTCACCTTCATGTCTATTGTTCATGTGATTTGGCCTCATTCTTTATTAGTGTTGTCTCTGCAGATTATGTTACTATCAAAATAACTGCATACAGTTAAGATTAAAACTAAATAACCTTTTTTTTTTTCATTTTACCTTTTGTCCTTTCCCTGCTATAATTCCCCAGTGTTTTGGGTGTAGGAGTTATGGTTTGGTCTGAACACTGTCTAGACGCCTATGAGCCTCCCATTACCTCCTGATTACACTGAGCCCTATTAATCTCACTGGGCTGGCTGACCAGGGCAGACACACACACACACACACACACACACACACACACACACACACACACCACACACACAAGTAGGCAGATACACAAAAAGAATTTAATATTTCAAGCTGTATGATAAAGTGCAAATAAAATTATGTGGAAAAATAGTTGCAATGTTATTTGGTAATAATGGAGAAAACACATAATGAATGCTAAATTTGAGTGATTTGAAAATATTTCAAATAAAAAGTACACGAGATGTAAATATACAGAAAATATGTGACGTTACTTGTGGATCAGATTTAAAAAAGTCAGAAAAACACTGTATAATGCTAATAGTACTTACTAGTAAAGGCACCAGTGACTCTTAAAAACATTAAAACTAAACAAGTATAAGCAATCAAATCTGCTGAGGTTAAAATGCTGTTTAATGATGCAAGTGAGCGCAACTCATTCAGTTATGTGATTTTAGAGATAATAGGGACGACTTGGTACCAGTGGAGTTTGTGGAGAAAATATTTACTGTAGGAAAAAAAAAGACGATGCTATGGACTGTGGAGGTATTACTACTGAGCACAACTTACAAGTGCAGGAGTTTGAAAAACATTTTTTTCAGTACAAAATACACAATGTAAACATGCTAATTTACATCTGTAGTCCCAAGGCAGGTAACATAGTACAATAACATTGTATTAGAGAGGTGAAATAGCTACCTATAAAACAGATATAAATATAGTCAAATAAATAATTGTCATTAAATATGTATTTATGTATTAATATGAGGTTTACTTGTGGGGTTCCTCAAGGCTCTCTGTTCGGCCTCATAATTTTTACTTGTACATAAATGATAGATGTTTTGTGATAGCTGTTCACATTTATTTAATTCACAGATGATGCTAGCTTATTCTTTATTTTAGTAAGAATTAAAAAGTTAGTTCCTTAGTTGGAATTACCGTGATCCACTATACACATATACACACATCTAGACCCAAACACTTTTGTCTTGAGCAAAATGGTGTCACAGGAAACACCCGTCTGTCGTCGCCAGGGCTACTGAGGACAGGACGGCGGGTGTTGGGTGCCAAGGAAACAAACTAACTATGGTAATCCAGCTCACCAACCAAAAGCAATGTTTACATTTGGGGTTAATTGTGTGTGCGCATGTGTGCTTGTATATGTGTGTGTATGTGCAGACATTGTTCCCTTGGGAAAGAGTTTAACGCTTGAGTCAGTCTGTCTCTGTGTGAGCTCGGGCTATTTGCCTACCTGAGGGAGCATAAAAAACAGAGATGCAAAGCTGAAGTGCCAAAAATCTCTCAGAAATGCCTTTGAAAATACCATAAAGGGATTTCATGGATGTCAGTAGGCCTGTGAGAGATGGGCTTTGATACAACTCAGTCTAGCCTGGACTGTGTTGGAGGATATATGGCCACAGTTGCACAGCTCTGACTGGTGGAACACTTAAGGTTTTATGACCTGCTGCCATTTGGGGCTCTGGGATAGAGCAGAGTGCCGACCACATAACTAATTAGGCCTGGCCAACGAGGGTGTGCAAGGATGGGGATTTGTGGATTGTGGGTTGTGGATGCGGTGTGTCTGAATGAGTGAATGAGTGAGTGAGCCAGTGAGTGTGTGGCATGGGTCGTTCTGTGTGTATGTGTGTGTCCTGAACCTTGAGCATTGCGTCAGGGCGCCGTTTGTTCTCCATAAAGACTCCACAGGTTCTTTCATGTAGGAGCCGCCAGGCCTGGAAACTTTAACACAGGAGATAGGAACTCCACAGCCAGCCTACACACACATTAAGACACGCACACACATACACACACACACTAGAAAGATCACTCCTATCGAGGCAACAAGAGGCAGACAGAGGTGTATGAAAAAAATAGTCTGGCCCACTCAACATAAACAACACTCCTCCTATTGTCTCATCTCTCGAACCCTCCCTCTCTTCTCCATCGGAGGATCATGAAGATAAACGACCATGCCTAGATATGAGAGTCCAGTGGCAGGAGGGGTGGGGGGTGTTGTCAGAGGTGGAATGTGTGTGAACTGCACACCGCCTCCTATAAATCAGGGGGACAAGTAGAAGGAGGAGGAGAGGGAAAGCAGGACGGGTGGAAGAGGAGGAGTCAGTGATAGGAGGAATGACAAGATAAATGAGTGGTGATGGAGGGAGGGGGCACAGGTGCAAGAGAGGTGCACGAGGGCTGGGGATGAATCCAAGCAAATGAGAGTGATGAAGGCAGATGGAGGTCATGGCGGGACAAATTACAGTGAACCGTCACCTGAACTTTTCAAATCATTGTTTTCTAAGTCTCTTTATCTTAAGATTGTAAGTGTTAAGCGTTTTGTGTTTTGTGTATTTGCACAGTTCAAACAGTGGAGGTTGCACAATTTGAGGTCATTCAGAGCATTCTGGCAACACGGAGCGATTCGTAATGACTGTTTACATTGGATTGTAAAAAAAAAAAAAAAAAAAGTTTTAAATGGCGCTAATGTTGCCCTGCTGAAGGCTTAAGTATGTGTAACGTGAACTTTTGTTTATTTTTTTGTGTGAGGGTATGTGCGTTTTGTTTCAGTGTGTAGTTCTGCTAGAATCACCTTCAGCCCAGTAACATTTCAGTGAGTCAGTTTATAAAGATCTTGTTTATAACTTCTAACTAATGTCCTCATCAGTGGTTAATAAACATTTACTAATGCTTTAAATGTTGGTTATGAGCCATTATCAAGAACAAACTTCAGGTTGTCATGTTTAGAAAAAAAAAAAAAATCCTTTAGTAATAATGCAGATATACCGTTTCTTTTGGTGATCCATCAAAGGAATAGTTAAATATGGGAAATCTGCTTATTTTCTTCCTTTCTGAGATGTGAAGATTGATATCACTCTCATGTCTTAATAAAGTAAACACATACTATATTTCCTGGTTGGATCAGTTGCTTGGCAACCAGCAGATACTCCAGTTACTGGTCCAGGCTGAGAAAATTTATTAATGTGAATAAAAATAGTTTGGAATGAATGGATTTTGGTCAAGATTGTCTCAAGCCCTTTTCCAAACAGTCCAACATGTCAAATTAATTTTCACAATTGTTCTTGGTGATGGTTTTTAACTGATGCATAAAGTATTACTAAAGGATTTATTAAGACTTCAAGTTATAACTTATAACAGGTGCCTCATTACAAAGGGATGTTGTTATGCCAGATAATGGCCAGTCCTGGACAACAGCAAGTGTAGTTAGATATAAATATCACAGACGGTTGCATTTCTCACCAGCTTGGCAACAGCTCTCTAAAGTTGGGATATGGGAATGTAATTTTAAAAAACAAATAAAAGATAGAGATGCTGATAGGGCAACTCGTGTCAATGACAGAAATATATGATCAGGTGTGACAGACGAGGATGAGCCAAGTTAATTGCAGCTCCTTATCTGTCCTCTTTAGGCAGCTCCTGATAAACTCTCCAACACTTAGCACCTCACAGCTAATTAGACACCCCACTGAAAGGCAAGGGGGGGGATTTGTGTGTGTCTGTGTGTATATCTGTGGAGGTGGGGTGAAAGAAAACAAAGATATTTAGGCTGTCTCTCCGCACTGTATCACTTGACACCATCCAGTAGCACAAGAGTTTGTGGTGGGAGGGAATCTGCCATGAAAAACAAGAACTCTTGTGAATAATCCGTACAAGGATGTTTCTTTGCAAAAATTAAAGCTATGCTGTTATTGATGAGCATTTCGAATCACTGAATAAAGAAATTGAAGCGGTGAAAACATATCAAAATATAGGGATCTTTAATTGGGATGAAAACTGAATGTGATTTCAATTTCTTTTGGTTCACGGTCAAAAAATAACACACCTTCATGAAACTGTCCGTGCAACACTAAAGGAAGTCAGAACAACACTGAAAACAATTCATCATTGCAGTGATGCATACTGTGAATCTGCCTGAATACTATGAATATTACTAAATGATCTCCTTCTCTTACAGCTTCCATATAGACCGTCCTCTCAAAGACTTCACAAAAGGCACAAGAGGCAAAAGAACAAAGTTCTTGAATTGAGTTTTGCGGCCTCGGTTGTCTTTCATCAGTTTCTTTTGTCCCATTTGGCTACATAACCTCAAGGCAACAACCTGCCCTTGTTACACTCACAGCCATGTTTATCATATGAAGCTGACAAGGTGTCACTCCTGTACTTTGGTGCCCCAATGTGGATGTAAGAAGCGGTTTTCTGCCCCCATCAGGCAGCAAAAGGGAATTGCAATCCAATAAGCACTGATCTGTCAAGTTTGCATCTGTCCTCATGTGCTTTTTGCATAAGCTACAATGGAGACTGCAGAGGCTCCTACTGCATGTCTGACCCTCTGTTCTGAATGATTTTAGAGGAGCTCAGAAGAACCCAACATGGGGCAGAAAACTTGCTCCCTAAAAATTGTGTTTTAATCATTAAGGCACATCAGTATTCACTGTCATTAACATAGTTGATATCACCTCAGTTATTCTACACAATTAACCTGTTTTCCCAACGGGGAAAAAAAAGTTTTTCATGCAAATTGTTCAATGTCGCTTTTCCTCTTCTTCTTGGATTTCGGTGGTTCAGGAGCTTCACTAAAACCAGATGTGACATCGCTACCAGTTTCATGTTTCCTCTTTTTGCCTGGCTTGTCGCTGATGTAGCCGCTGGAGTCGCTCCCGTGGACCTCCATGGGAGAGAGCTCAACCTCCTCCTCCTCGTCTTTCGGACGTTTCTCCTTCTTCTTCTTCTTTTTCTTTTTCTCACCAGCCTCGTTGCCGTTTGCCTCTTCCATTATTCCGTTTAGCTCTGGTGTCATGCTGCTGTTCTGCTGGCAGGAGGCCGTTACCTCCTCTTCTCTCTCCTCCTCTTTGACTTTGTCTTTCTTCTTTTTCTTCTTTTTCTTGGGGGTGTCGTCAGGAAACTCCTCTGTGATTTCTGAGTTCGGTTCTGTGTGTGCTGTGTCTGGCTGCTCTGCAGGAACACTCGACTCTGAGCTCTCACCCATAGCCATCAGCTCTTGGACCCTGAGACACACAAAGATAACAACACAAAAATCAGTTGAGACTATGTAAACGTTATTATTTCCCCTCACCAGCACCAATGCAGCACACTTGCCTGGTCCTGTCCAGCCGTCCTCTGATCAGCAGCACCCCTGCAGTATCGGCGTCGAGTGCCATCACCTCAAACTCCAGCTCTGCTCCGATTCTCGGCCCCGCGTCCCTCCAGGTTTCCATAGAGACCAGGTTTGGTTTAGGGATGCTGGCGTTGAAACAGCTGTGCACCAGGCAGCCCACATGGCTTGCTCCTAGTTTATTCACTTTACCCTGGGAACAGAAACACGCTAGAAATAAATTACATCACACACAACACAGACAGGCTAGAGGTAAATGATTTGTTTGTTTTTGTGGGGCTGGTGTTGTCTTTTACCAGACACACTCGTTAGATAAAAAGTTATTTTTAGTTTCAAAAAATGCCCCAATAACTCATGTACAGTAATTATACTGTCTGAGAATATTTAATATACAAATTTTTTGTTTCCAGGGCTGTTACGTGCTGTGATACTGTGTGCTATGTATCTGTCCTGTTTGGCCCCATTTACTGTTTCATTTATTGTTACCTTTTCCCAACCCCTGAACTCTCACAGGGAACATGAGTCTTTCCTCCAAGGCCTGTTCCTTTGATCCTAAATCAAATACACTATTGCTTAAATCTGTACCACTACTGAGAAGTACTGTGCATTTCTCTGAATGACGACATCTGCCAAATGCTGTAAATGTAAATCTCACCAGCAGTTTCTGTCCTTTCTTGGGCTGAAACACAATAAAGCTGGCCTCTATGTCCATGTGGATGTAGCCGTTGTCATCATAGATGTGTCCGTGCTGGCCAGCTATCCTGATGTTGTCATAAGCTAAAGGCACTCCTTTCAGACTGCAAGACAAAAACAACAAGTTGTGGGATAAGAACAGTTTGACTCGATGCAACATGATATGATACAGCTTGATTATCATATGGAATATTCGCAATAAGCTGTGCCACACTTCTGCTCCACTTGACATCAACAGATGGCTATTTACCTTTTTTGCACATAATTACAACCGAGTGCAGGTCTGTCATCTAGTCCCGAAAGAAGATGACAGAAGTTTTGTTTATCAATCAATAATAATAATTATTGAGGAAAAATGTCAAAACTTGCTGGTTCAAGCTTTAAAAGCTCTTCTCTCTTTAGATATTGAGGTAAATAGAATATCTTAGGGTTTTGAACAATTCGTTGGAAAAAATGAGCCATTTGACAACATCATTTGGTTTCCTGGGAACTGTGATGAGCAAGTCAATGTGCTGTGCACTACGAATTTGTAGTGGGACAAATTTTAGTCTTGATGATGAATGGGAAACATTGTGGCAGATTTACCGGGTAGTAAGAAAGAACACTTCAATGCAGATCCTCATTTATGTCCGAGAGACATCCCTGATGCATAGTAATACTATGCAACACAAGACATGCCACAAAGAATGCTCTGACCTTCTGAGGGCTGTGTTGTAAAGTTCAACCTGACTTATTCAAATATCTGAAGTTCATTTTCAGCACACTCTGCTTGTGCGTTGTGTGCGCGTGTTGTACACCTGCCTATGTGGGTGCATATTACTATCTTCTCTATAATGCACCCTTAAAATAACAGTGAAATACTGCACCATTGACTTCAGACCAGGTCTTTGTTGATCAGTCACGCTATCACTATCCACTGCCTCAAGATAGCAATGCGTCTAGAATGAGCCTGACCACACTTAATTTTAAGACCAACAAGCCCATTAATGTATTAAGTATTAACAACATGGGCATTGGATGGGAAAATGACAACTGCGTCATCTGAAACTGGCACAGTCGCTTGTTTTTCGCCTGGCGCCGGCAGAAAGACAGGGCCCCCAATGTCATCCATCTCAGTCCTGCTCCTGCTCACAGTGGATCTTCTATCGCTCCCTGCTCAACCCAAAATGGATTAGCTAAACCACGATTTATTCATCAGGGGTGGGAGCAGGCCTGAGACCACTAGACTACTCCTGTGCTTCTAATGCCCCGATGGTGGTGGAAAGTAACATTTAAGTACTGCACTTCAATGCAGTTTAGAGGTACTCGTACTTTACATTAGAGTATGCCCTTTATGGGCAATTTTATACGTCTCACCACATTTCAGATGCAAATTATTTAATTTTACACATTGGCACCCCTTTGTATAGCAGTATGGTTATTTTTATACCGTTCAAGGTTTTGCATCGAGAATATATTTTGTTCACTTACGCAAGTTATATTTTGATTACAAGACTTTTCGTGGAGCATGCGGCAGGGAGGCGCGTTAATATCTAATAATAATGGATCTAGTCATGTTGTGTGCGTTAACCGTCCATTACAAGACAGCTACATAAACACACTACTAACAGGATTAACCTAAAAATTGTTGACATACGTTTGTTTGTGCGTCTGTACACATTAATGGTGGACTGTGTCGCGTACTGCAGGAGAGCTGGAAAGGTTGTTTCAAGTGAAACCGTGGTGCGTCCAGTGTTGTTGTGTTATTACCTCGGGGAAAACTTGAGCAGCTCGGCCTCCAGCTCCCCCTGTATACCTGTCCTCTTCTTGTTCAGGTACAGGGGCGGTAAGGCGATGTGTCTCCGGTGCGTGTTCATGACCAGACACGAGTACGGCGCTGACAGCAGCTCGGATGCGGCGGCGAACGACGGGATCGAGCACGGGACCACGCCTGCATCTCCGCCCGGTAAGGAGGACAGTTCGGTCGGTTGGACTTGGGCGGCGGGGATTTCACCAGACATTTTAACATGTTTCTGGTCGTCTTCAGCATGTTCCAAGTTCGCCATGCTGCTTTGGAAGACCGGAAGACCAACAACGGGTGACTTCCGCTTTGAGGATGATAAACATTAGAGGACATTTGTTTATGTTGACGCCTGCTGGCCAGGAGGTGGAATTGCAGTCGAGGAAATTAAAAAAAAAACTAAATTTTGAGTCCTACATTAAAAAAAGAAATCTGTTTTTCCCCTTTTTCCTTTCCTTTTCTTTTTTCCTTCCTTTTCTTTTCTTTTCTCAAGTTTTACCAAATGGGTTCAAAATGGTTTTACACAAACATTTTTGGTCAGTATTTAAATAACCTATATGAATCTTTTCAGTTATTTAAACAACTGTAAATGATGCATTTCCTTGATAACATGTCCTTTGTTACATAAACTGCAAATTGTGCCCTGACTAACTTGGCAAGAATGCTGTGAATCTATTCAGCTGTTAAGAGACGTCATTGATTCTGTATCTGGTTCTTACCTGCAATGGCACATTAAGATCATTAAGGTGACCTGAGGTGTCAATTAGTGCAACTACAGGGTGCGTGGACACACATACACACATGCATAGGAAAATACACTCACGTACACAAAGACGCTAATCTAGGGTTACTGTTTTCTGACAGGGCAGCATCAGAGGAGGTCACATGATTCAGCATTTCATACACACACACACACACACACACACACACACACACAACCACAACCACAAAGGCAGTGCAGATCTGGTGCTCTCATGGTGATAAATAGTGACATGGTTTCTTAGTCAGCAAGAGCTCCCAGTGGCTTCTGCTGCTGTGGGCCCTAGTTAGCACACACACACACACATTGAATTTGTCAGACCCTGGCCAAACTGTCATCCCTCTGTTGGCAAAATACTCTTTTCTGTTCTCACTATTTCATTTACAAGCACGCACACGCGCATGCACACACGTTTACACATACACACATACACAATACAAAACAATAATTTTAACAAAGTTTGATTTAGAGAAAGCACAGCCATGCAAAACCATCGGTCTGGTCATTCAAGGCAAAGGTGGAAGGAACAGCATCCTGCCACCCTGTCCTGGGTGTGTGTGTGTTTGTGTATGTGCTTTATAGTGATGGATAATGCATGAATGGCTGTTTAAAATTTAACAGTGACAGTGTAACCACGACAAAACAATCACCTTACTGACAGGTGACATCAGGTCACATCAGGAGAGAGAGCGGAAGAGAGAGCCATATAAACAAATACAGTTTGAGAATGAAAAACACACAGACAGACACACAAAGAGACAGACAGACCGAGTGACTGACATGTTGACAGGCAGGTGTAGGGTTACATTTTTACTTCATCTAGAGAAACAGCATATTATCATTTTAACTACTATAATTTATTTTAATTACAATGTCTGTTTATGAAAATGTCAGATATGAAAGAAATCATTCATTCTATATGCACTAATGTTTTAAAGAGGCCACTATGTTTCATTGGGTTCTTGTTGCATATGAAACAATGAGTTACTGCTGCTGTTAATATTTCTCTCTCTGCACCTGGGTTCAAACAGTGATTGCAGAACTCCAATAAAAGGGAAAGTTTGTGGGAATATTTCACTTTTATTCAAGTGGCCATAAAGGTGAAATATTATTCATGTCATTCTGTTGAGTTGGCATCCTGGTAAATGTAAGAAATCATTCACTGAAGTGAAACTAGACAGGACAAGCTGAGGGACGGTGTGTGTATAAAAAAGAAAACTTACTTCATCACCAAATATAATCTGTGAGAGTGTAAATTAGCGACTGAGATGGCTTCAATGTCAAAGCAGAGGTGAGGAGAGGACTGCTGAGGTCTGGTAAGATCACCTCTTTGCAGTCTTCAGCCCCGACTGACACTGCCTCAAGTCTGTAAACACAATTTGAAACGTGAAATTGGTGGAGTTCACCTTCAAGACCGTCATAGCTTTTAAGATTTAGATAAGAGCTTTACTACTTCCTACTCATTTCGAAAGCATTCAGAGAATGTTGCCAAAATACTTTAATTGGTTTATCTTTACAAACGTATCTCACTTCCTTTTTGTCAGTGACCCTCCACTTACTGCGCTGTCTGTACTGAAACACAGAGTGCCGTTAGAAGAGTATCGACCACAGCAGAAAGCCCACAAAGTGCAGCTGCATCATTAAGGCTCCACCTTTGACTTTTTAACACATATTTGACTGTTAACAAGCAGGTTTTCTCTTCAACTAATGACCTTAGTAAGTGGACAGAACAATGATGAAAGACACTGCATTGATTTCTGCTATAATGACCACATCCATGCCTCTGTGTACTGTGAGCTGCTGTGTCTAAGTGTTTGTGCATCCACAGGCAATACACACAATATGGTATATATACCATATATCAAAGAAAACAAGACCCAGAATGTGGATGTTTGGGCATAAATCATTTCAGTCTCCATGCTCTCTGGAACTAGCTCTGGGGACTAACCTCACAGAACATTAATACCACTCTCTATCAATCTTCTCATCTAACTTTTGGCAAGAAAGTGTTCAAAACCTAAACAAAAGTATTCCTTTAATTAGTAAGCCTTAGAAACACTTGTAGGTGGACTTTTGAACTTTGGAGAGAGTCAGACTTGCTGTGTCCCCCTGCTTCCAGTTTTTATGGTAAGCTAACCACCTCTTGACAACAGCTCCATCGACACACAGACATAAGACAAACTTCTCTGGTTCTTTGTAACAAACTGAAAATGTGCATTTCTCAAAATGGAGAACAATTATGTTTGACAAACAACTCTGTGCTAAGCTTTCCTGTATCATCTCATTTCTTTCATATATTTATATATGTATCCTGTATGTGTCCTGTATTTTCATACACTTCATGTCCTCAGTGCTGTGAATGAGGTAATGTCAAGTAAAACCAAGCCATTTATAGCCTACCGAGTCGATTGGAGAAGTTTATCAATGAGCAGTAGACGCACGTAAATCAGAATTGGGGGGTCCCTTATCTCTTCACAGAAAAGGTGGCAACCTTGTAGTCCAAGCTTCTCTGTTCTTTGTTTTGGTATATGGTCTGGCCTTGTGCATGTTAGGGGTTGTAAGTCCCTCCCTGTTAAACCGTCACATTTATAAAGACAGGGACTGCCCACATGCGAGATGGCACAGGGCAGTACGCAGCGTTCAGGTGAATGTGACCTTCTAGAATTTCCTCCATTGAAGAAACAATGTTCTTTGGCTAAAAAGGCCTCTGACAAAGAAAAAGATAAGACCAAGCCATGCGCAGGCTACAGTAGGCATGATAACGTTAGCTATTTTGCTGTTACCAATATTATGAATTTATTTGGCAAATGCTGCTATCCCTAGCTGGCTTACTGTCAGGATCACTGTGGAGCGTATCACGGCAATGCTAGAGTTGGTTACTGGTTGTGTCTGGATTTCTTTTTGTTGGCTCTCGTGTACACAGGCTATCTTTATTCATTTATGCCTCTCGTTGTGTTCCCACTGGGCTACATATCACCTTGCTGAGAACAAGAAGTGTGAAGGGAAGTGTGGCCGATGAAGCGTTTGCTTTGGTCTGAGATGCTGGTGGCCTAGTGCAACATCTAGAGGCAGTGACGATCACTTAGAGAACCTTTAACTTTTTCTTCTGCTAACTTTCTAGTGTTATTTTTCTTAATATCTTTCCTTGACCTCATGCTCTGTGTTCTGCCGCACTTTCTCTCTGCTTCATTCTGCCAAGTCTTTGGTCACTAACAGGAAACAAGCAGCAAGAGTTCTTAAGTTTTGGCAACAACAAAAATCTCATTTGTTTACCAATGTTGTGAGAGTGAATGTTAAGTGGCATTAGGAGGCTTTCTCCCTCTCTTTCGTTTTTTCTGACTCAGACCGTTTTTTTTGTGGGGAGCCAATGTGGGAGCCAATGTGTGTGTATGTGTGTGTCTGTGTGTGTGTTTTGTTTTGTTTGTGTCCTGAGTTCAAGGGCATTCCCCCACTAGTCTCCTGGCACTGACCACAGTAACATGTGCAGAGGTTGGAAGAAATGTTCATTATACACACACACACACACACACACACACACACACACAAAAAGAATGAGAAAGGGCTTTGCTTGCGTTATGAAACACAAAATGACTGCTCTGCTTCTGCTTCATGCTTCTTGACAGACACGACAGGTGATGAAACCTCACATCATATCACATTCAAAGTGAAGGGACGAAACGCTCGACTTCTCCAGCTTTTAGTCTCCTCGGAAACAGACACACACATGCACTGATTAGTCGCTTTATTCAGAGGGTGCCATCACCTTTTCTTACAAGCAAGTCGGCCCTTTGTGTTAACCTTTCTTTCAGCAAAGGCATTAATTAAGCAAGCCAGCCGTGTGACCTTTAACCTTCTGTGACCAACAACGTTTCATCGCACGTTTAGCAAGTTTGGCGTCCTGTCAGGAGCTGACAGGGGGGAGTGTTCGGTACAGCTCTGAGTCGAGAGGTGAAAGAACAGCAGGGTGGAGATTCAAGCTGGGGTGTGTGCTATCACTGTGTATAGCTTAAAGAAGAAGAGTCAGAGGAAGAGCAAAATACAGAGAGACTGATAGAGAATGAAGGGCCTGCTTGCTGTGAGTCCCAGAGGGTGAATTGATTTTAGAATTGGTTGTCTTTGTCAGAACACACCAGTAAGACTCTATTGACTGATTGCATAATCTCTCTTCATCTCCTCCTCTCTCCCTCTTCTTTCATCCCTAAGCTCCTCTCTCCTTCATTCCTCCATTGTAGCCTGTGGAAGAATGAAGAAATGTAACCGGCCCACCCTGTAGACTGAATATGCAATTCCATATTTTTTAAATAAAAGAAAGTAAGAGAAGTAGACATAAAAGGAGACATAAAACCAATCAATGGCTCTGACCCAGTACAGTGGACCCCCTCCTCAATGTATTGATCATGTCAAGCCAATCAACATCTCCCCATGTCCCCAGTCATGTCGGTGGATAGACACAGGTCATGATTGGCACAGGTGCTGCAGGAACTGTCCAATCAATCAATCATGCTGCTAAAGTACGATACGACACAGCTGAAGT